CATTAGAGTTGGCTCCTGAGTCTTTTTAACAGAACCCTAGTATAACCCTAGATAACATAGCAAATCTTGTGTGACTGGATGTTCCAAACTCATCTTGTGCCTCTCCTGTCCTAGACCTGGAATCAGCCATTTCTCCATGGACCTCTAGTATCATTCAGTGAAGAAGGGTATTTAGAGACCACAGTTTGAGTGTACAGGTGTTTACTGCCAAGGATTGGCCTTGATTTGAGGCCTTGCATTGAATAAAACACATTTAACATTTTAACATAAAATACATGAGCTCATACTTCCAACAAATTCAATACCATGGGATTTTTAACTTAAGCTTTGTAGTTTGGATAAGTATCTCCTTTCTCCCAAGCAACGAATCCAACTTCACAGTGACATCAGGTATGAAAGAATTAGGATGCCCCATATTTGCTCATTTACCTTGCCCCCCATGGCATGATAAGACGGGAAAGGAGCTCTAGTCAGGGTGGCACCTCAAGCACTCCAGGAAGAAGCTCTGCAGACTGGTTGGGGAGGGAGCCCTGCAGGATGACAGAATTGGCTGAGTTGGGACAAAATGACATGAGGCCTTGAGGGTCACAAATGGGACAAGATAAGGGGAGGCCCATCTCAGGACTGCACAGAATGCGAGGCTTAGGTAGGAGACCACAGGAGGGAGAAGAAAGGCCCAAGGGGTGAGACATCACCAGCCTATGAAAGGGACTGAGGGTGGGACCCTTCATACCTGAGTCCCACTAGCACATAAAAAACTAAAGAAATGTCAAAACATGGTTACATAAATTAGAAGGTATTTTAATTGTTTCCACTGAACAAATTAAAGCCCTTATGAGAAAAGCTAGCCACAATGTAATTATACTCACAAAAGAGAATTAGGAGATTTATACAAATATGTATGTATTACTCTGGAGTCTCTATAAGGAGTGAGAACAATTCTGAAACACAAATTTAAAGCCAAATGAGGAACACCATCTTCTTTCAACACTGTGGATTTTTGTGATTTTATGTTTGACCTTAAAAAAAAAATTAACTATCTTTTTTAGAGCAGTTAGATTCAGGGTAAAATTGAGTGGAAACTTGGAAAGTTCCCCTCTACCGCCTGCCCCCACACATGCATAACCTCCATGTCTTTTCATGGCTTGGTAGCTCGTTTCTTTTCAGCACTGAATAAAGCCCATTGTCTGGGTGTGCCTTGATTTATCCATTCACCTACCAGAAGTCGTCTTGGTTGCTTTCAAGTTTTGGCAGCTATGAATAAAGCTGCTATAAACACCCGTGTGTAGGTTTTTTGTGGGCATGTTTTCAACTCCTTTGGGTAAATACCTAGAAGCATGATTGCTGGATCATATGGTAAGAGTATGTTTAGTTTGTAAAAAACCACCAAACTGGGGCACTGGGCGGCTCAATTGGTTGAGTGTCTCACTCTAGATTTCCGCTCAGGTCATGATCTCAGGGTTGCAAGATCGAGCCCTGTGTTGGGCTCCGTGCTGGGTGTGAAGCCTGCTTAGGATTCTCTCTCTCTCTCTCTGCCCCTTGCCCCTCCTCCTCTCTCTATCTCTTTCCCTTTCAATAAAATAAAATAAATCTCAAGGCAACCTGCACTTAAAAAAAAAAAAAAACACACACACCAAACTGTCTTCAAAAGTGGCTGTATATTTTGTCTTCCCACCAGTAATGAATGAAAGTTCACATCGTTCTACATCCTTGCCAACATTTGGTGGTGTCAGTATTCCAGATTTTGGCCATTTTAATAGGTGTGTAGTAGTATCTCATTTTAATTTGCATTTCCCTGATGACAGATGATGTGGAGCATCATTCCATATGCTTATTTGCCATCTGCATACCTTCTCTGGTGAGGTGTCTTTTCAGGTCTTTTGCCCATTTTCTAGTTGGGTGGTTTGTTTTCTTACTGTTGAGTCTTAAGAGTTCTTTGTATATTTTAGATAACAATCCTTTATCAGATGTATCTTTTGCAAAGATTATATCTCAGTCCGTAGCTTGTGTTTTCATCCTCTTGCTGTTGACTTGTTTTAGGGAGAATGTTGAAGTTCTGAGTGTGAGACCCCCCCACATGTAACATCAGGGTGACCCCCACCCTCTCATACCTCATGGTCCCTAAGGTGTGAGGAAGGGCCCATAAAGGAAAGAACCAGACCTCACAGGGAGCAGGGAGAAGGAGGCCCACAGTTGGCAGAGTCTGTGGCAGGCTCTTCTCTTGAAGGAGACGTGGATGTGGGGGAAGCCTGGAGGGGAGCTGCATGTGAGGAGAGTCGGAGCCCCCCTGAGAAAAATCGAAGTCTGAGGAGGAGGATGTTCAGAGGGTGGGGGAGGTGAGGAGACACTTGGAGACAGCCCGCGCACAGGCAGGGTGACCTGGTAGGAAACGGAGTTCAAGGGAAGCTGTTGTCCCCGAGGCTGGGGTGACACTGCTGGGACATCCTGGAGGCAGATCTACGTGGACTTTCCTGTGCCGGGGCAGGTGGACCCTGGAGCCAGCCAGCCAGCAGGACCAGGGGCAGAGACAGCACAGCCCCAACGCCGTCACCAGGGGTCCTTCTTGAGCCACTCGGAAAGCTTGTCAGAGTGCCCTCCTCAGCCCATTCCTCACACAAGACCACCACGGCACTTTCAACAGTCAGATCTTAAAACGGCCAGTAACCAAATGCCAATGTCAGATTTTGCTACGTTCACCAACGCCACACATCCTGGAAAAACCCACATTCCAAATCCAAACCATTCCTAGGGCCCCACGTGGGGGAGTCGCATTCCAGGGAGAACCTTCGATTAAATATTCCCTGATTCGACAAAACGGGCTGCATTAAGGGCAAGTCCATGAAACTGTTGGCATTGGATTTCCTTTTTCAAAACCCACACCACCAAAAATAATCAAAGAGGTAAACATGACACTAGGCTGGAGCCCAGCTGGTCTCTTCAGGCCTGAGTTGTTGCCAAGTTCACACAAATTCATCAACTGTCAAAGCAGAACTAGAGCTCTATCTCCACGGCCCCAGGAAGAACCGAGGCTGTCACCATGCCCCTGATCATAAGATCTCAAATCAGAAACCTTAGCCACATTTTCTCAGCTCCCATCTATCTGGAAGTAACCCCAACAAGGAACCTAAATTCTAACAGTCCTGGTTCAGGATGACCTTTTTGAGTCATTAATGCCGGGAGATCTCCACAAGATCTCAGACTTGGTGCCCCTCTTCAGGGAGGAGGGCAGAAGGCAGGGAGGCTGGAAAAAGTGAAAGGCAGAAAGGAAGTAAGATTAGCAGTGAACAGCATTCTGAGTCACCAACCTGCAAATGTCACTAGTAAGAAATGCGCTGACACATGCGTCCCTGTGACAACTGGGCACAGAGACTCCCTGGGCCTCAAGGACACCCGACCTCTGGGGATCACATCTGCTCCAAGGAGCACCCAGGAGCCCCTGCCCCAAACGCTTGAATCTGTGCCTGGCATTCCACCGTGGGAGTTTCTCATCTCCTGCAATACACACAGAGGACACCTGGAATCAGCCTCAGAGGACAGAAATAAGAGACTCTTCTTAAGTTACGGCACATACATTGCAATGGAATACTATGCAGCTGTAGAAAGAGGAAAGAGAATCTATCCCTGAGACACAGTGTTCAGGGAGACAGATCAAAGTGCTGAATCCATTATCATTCAGCCATAAAAAAGAGAAGGAAATCCTGCCATTTGTGACGTGCTTGGACCTTGAGGGCATGATGCTAAATAAGTCAGAGAGAAAGACAAATGCTGTATGATCTACTTATACATGGGATCTAAAACCAAACAAAAACAAAAAACAAAAACTGAGTTCATAGATACAGAGAAGATTCATGGTTGCCAGAGGCGGGGGCAGGGGGTGGGCAAAATAGGTGAAGGGTGTCAAAAGGTACAGACTTCCCGTGATAAAATAAACCAGTCCTAGGTAGTAACGTACAGCATGGTCACTATAGTTAATCACACACTATTGTAGATTTGAAAGTTGTTAAGAGAGTAGATCTTAAAAGTTCTCATCACAGAAAACAAATTCTATAACTATGTGTGAGGGTGGTGGTGGATCATTTTGCAATCTACACAAATATCAAACCATTATGTTGTACACCCGAAATTAATATAATGTTATACAGTGCTTAGACGTCAATACAAAAGAAGGAGGGGGAGAATAATACACATTAAAAAGAAGGAGGGGGAGAATTAATATGGCTCTATGCTTATACAGAAAAGCCATCTCTAGAACTCCCAGGGAACCAGAAATACTGGCTCAGTCTACACAGCGTATCTGGGGTAGGGACAGCGGAAGCAAGGGGCTTTCCCTGTGCGCTCTTTTGTACCTTTTGGGTCTTAAATGACCTGAATATATTATCTTTTAAGATACATTTAGATTTAAAGGAAGGGGATGAAAACGATCTATATGTTGAGGCCTGGAGAGATACACAAGATCATGATTAAGTGATAAACAGTTGCTAACAGGGGGTGTAGTGTGAGTCAATCTGCGCTTTTTTTGTTTTTAATAAAAGGGAACATTCACATATAGACTTGTAAATATGTAGAAAAAGACTAGAGGTTTACACCAGAAAACAGAGGTTCCCTTGGGGCATCTGGAAAAACAGGTGTTACACTTTTCATCGTGCCCCCTTCTGTCCTGTTTGAACTTTTTAACCAAACATGGATGACTGTTTTAATAATAGTAATAGTAATAATGTGATGGGGGTCGAAGCAAAAGGAAAGTTATGTGGATGTAACGCGGTCCTCTGCCGGTCCTGGTCCCGCTACCCCAGCAGCGTGATGGTGGCAATGTCACTCCGTGGCGGGCTGTCCCCACAGACCTCCAGAGCTGCCAAAAAGCTCAGATAAGGAGCCCAGTGCTGGGAAGTTCTCCATCTTCACGAGCCCATCATGAAAATCCGTGCGTGCAAGGCCAACGGGAGGAAGAACTGTGAATCCACGATCGGATGAATACAGATTTCCATTTTTTAAAAAGTGCACGTGCATCTTGCAGCTTCATAAACTTAGCCTTGATTAGAAGAGAGTTTTTAGTGTCAAGGACGTATGGGGTTAAGGAGATGGGCACCTGCAAGATGAAAGAGGACAATCAAGGCTTCGCGACCGCTGCGACGTGTGCAGTGCCCTCCGAGGGGACCCCAAAGGAGCCATGGGGGTGCCCTCCCTGCACAGGGAGCTGGGACTGCGAAGCAGGCCTCTGTGTGGGGAGGCCTGGTCCCGCAGAACAGAGGGCAGAGGGAAGGGAGGCTCCTGCCAAGGAGTTCTCTGTCCACCACCTTGGACTGGGGTGGACATTTTGGGGTCTCCCACCCAGGAGGCAGGCCCAGCTCGAGCCACAGCCAGTGCCTTCAGGTCCGTGGCTCCTGCTCTCAGAGCCTCGGCCTCCTTGCCTGTCCAACAGGGTCTGCGCCGGGACCTTGGCCATGTGATGGGGGTTAACGACATGCGGGACTGAATATCCTAAGTGTCTGGCATGTGGTGGGTGCTCAAGAAAGCGGTTGCTTTCCCTTCGGAAAACCAAAGTGATGGAGCAGAGTTCTGTAGTCTTCGGAAGGTATCCCTCACTCTTTCCTGGAACCCCTTCCCTTCTGGCTGGAATCACACCCAGAAAGACAAAACCGTGTTCACTGAAAAACACCACCATCCCTTCACAAGAGATGCTTCGTTGGCAGCCCTTCCTCCCCAAGAGTACTGGCCAGCCCACTGGGCCCGAGCACTGGGCTGGGAACGGCAATGTGCCCAGCCTCTGCCTCCTTCTGGCTGTGTGACCCTGGGCAAGGTGACTAAACCTGCCTGTGCCTCAGTTTCCTCATCTGTAATCTGGGGCCAAGGACCCCCAGGATGATTAAATGGAGAGGATATAGATGAAAGGGGTTTGCATTTGCTATTATTAGTCCCTTTGGCTAAAGAACCTTATCTCTGGTCCACTCACTGCCACCTGCAGATGTGGACCAACGTCCCCATGGATTAGAGATGAAGGGGTGGTCTCGAGCGGGCAGGGGGGACCCTGTGAGTGCCAGCCACGTGTCACATGGAGGGGAGACAGGTGCCGTTTCAGCCGCCAGGGAGCCAGGAAGGCCTCGCTGGGCCTCACCCAACCCGCCAAGTGCTCTGTCCGGCCTCAGCAACATTTCAAACACACCTGAGTCAGCAGGTAAACAGTGAAGGATTGCACATTTGTGAAAAGTCCAAATTTTAGATTTCTCTAGCAAAAACAATGGACGGTCTGCCGGCACTGGCCACACCCCCACATAGCGCCCCTCAGCCGGAGGTGAGTAGCAGTCGCCCCCTCCCATGGTACACGTGCTCCCCCGCTCACCACGGCCATCCTCCCACCCCCCACTCCCTATTGCCACCAGGATGCAGAAGCTGAGGCACTGTTCCCATTTCTGAAGGCCTTTAGACCATTGCTCTTCCTATGGTGGAGACGTGGCTCTTCGTATCCATGTTTCTATCAAAAGTTGGAAAATGGAAAGTAAATCAAAGGGCCATGAGTTTTACTTGATGGAGGTGAAGAATATTCATATGGAGTCAGTCTGCAGACACATGTTCTGTTCGCTCATGCACACGACCAGCTCGTCCACAGCTGCCCTGTAAGGTTGTCAAGGGTGTGCACTACTCATCTGGGCCGGGGGGGCATCGGGTCATAATCTGTGACCTGCCACAGCAGGACGCTTGGCGTTGGCCAACTCAGGTGGCAGGGACCTCAGTCCCGCGTCCCCAGCCCTGCATTCACGTCGTCCTCCTGTGCACTCTATAGTCCCCCTCTGTGGTTGTCATCTGTCTGTCATGAGAAAGCCCCAGGGCAGGGCTGAGGCTGGGGCTGGGTCATTCTCTCCCAGGCCCTTGCACTTCCTGAAAGTGCGTTAGATGATACCGTGAAGATGACCATCAGCAGTAATGACACCCAGGACCTCGGTGCTTCCCATAAGCCTCCGAAAAGTGATCTAAGATACATCTTCTGATCTGTGAAACCCCCATATTCAGCCTCCAGAAATGGGAACTCCCTTTTTTAAGACCCAGTCTCACACCATAGCTGCCACGAACCATTAAAAAAAAAACCCACCTTATCCCCCTTGCCCCATTCATCTATTTCTGGAAATCTAGCCTCAGAAAGTCATAAAATAAAAGAAAGAGAGAGAAGGAGGGAAGAGGGAGAAAAGGAGGGAGGACGGGAATGACAAGGAGAGGAAAAGTTATATCCATGAAAATGTTCACTGCGCAAAAACATGCCCAGATGATCACAGTGAGTATGCAGTTTAATGGGGAAAGATTTTGTTTGTTCATTTGTTTTTGTTATTTTGAAAACTTTTTTTGCAATGTTATATTAGTTTGATAATTCAAGCTAAATCAATGGAACCTCAAAACTGGAGGCATCTCAAGGACTCCAGGCTACCCCGCGGACCTGCATCTCTGCGCAGCTGCTGGTCCAAAGCAGACCCTGGAGCGAGAATGCCCAGGTTCCTAGCCTGGTCCCCCCACTCCCCTACTGAGGGGCACTGGCAAGCTCCTTGACCTCTCTTTGGCCCCATTTCCTTATTTTTAAACACAACAGTAGTATCTATCTCGTAAGGCTGTTGCAAAGACCAAATGAGTGAATAAATGTACAAGTGTGTAGAACAATACCTAGCTCTTAATAAGTCCTTCTAAGTTGCTATTAGTAGTGATAACAGTGGGTTGTGCTATCATTTCTGACTCACCAGCTCACCCCAAACCCTCACCATTCTCCAGTATCACCTGCCCATCTTCCACCCTCAAATACATCCCAAACCCAGCTCTGCCCTGAACTGCCCGCAGCATTCGCCTCCAGCTCCAGGGGACGGGTCGAGGAGGAAAGACTGGGTGCCAAGGGCCACCCCCACAGCCACCCTGTACCCCAGCTGCCTCCGGCCAGATGCTCTGGCCCTTTCCCCCTTCTCCAACCCCACCTCCTCAGCTTCCCCATGCCCTGCCTTTGACGAGCCCTCTGTCCTCAGAGCCACCTCTTCTTCAGCCTGTCCCCAACTTTATGACCATCATCCCTCAGTGAAACTCTGATCTGAAGTTAAACAGCAGAAGGAAACTCTAATAAATTTTATTTTGTGTGCTGACATATTTCAAAGTAAATCACAGATCTCACATCACCCCAGCCCTGCAGGCTCCAGGACACGTCTTGAAAAATAATACCATCTTTTCGTCCATAGCTGAAATATATTACCATTAACAAAATCGTATTCCATTGATGCCATCTAATAGTTCAGAGGCAAATTCAGAGGCATCATTTTAAATTTGTAATGTTTCTGTTCATCTTTTTTTTTTTTTAAACTTTGTCGGACATCATTGATGGGGACCGGCAGAAGTACTAAAATGTGTGAAGGGACGCCTGGGTGGCTCAGTCAGTTAAGCGTCTGCCTTTGGCTCAGGTCATGATCCCAGGTCCTGGGACTGAGCCCCACATCGGGCTCCTGGCTCAGGAGGGAGTCTGCTTCTCCCTCTCCCTCTGCCACTCTCTGCCCACCCCCCCACCCCCAGCTCGTTCTCTCTCTCTCTTTCAAATAAATAAACAAAATCTTAAAATAAAATAAATAAATAAAAATAAAATAAAATAAAATGTGTGAAGACTCTGCGGGGTGAGTCTATGGGGCAGCGGCGCACCCCACCCTACCTGGATGGGGGGAAATTAGAGGGTGATACGGCCATGGCCAACGACCATTACGGGCACGGGTCTTCTGACCCAGCAAACCTACTGCTAGGAATTTATTTCCTGGGTGTTCTTCCCGTCGGCCAAAGCTGTATCCCTGAGGCGTCGACCCCATGTGGTCAGTGGAGTCAAAGACGGGAACACTGAAATGTCCGTCACCCGGGACTGTTCGTGCCCTCAGACAGCCAGCTGCCTGGGAGTCCCCAGGTGGGGCTCGTAAACTGGGTAGCCATAGTTTGGGCATGTGGCCAGATGGCCCCCGCCAGCCTTATCCTCTCCTCAGCTCTGGACAGGAAGGCAGGGCTGGTTCCCCAGGCACTCAGAACCTGGAGCCCCTTTCTTCATGGGCTGGGCTGCCACTGAGCTTGGCTACAAGGACTTTGCAGCAACCCCCCTACCTTCTGCCGACCCCCCTCACCTGGGGTGTTCGGGCCTCACCTGGACAGTGCTGCCTGGGAGCATCTTGCTGAGCAGATGGCCCAAATCCTGGACCCTTGTGGGAAGGATATCCTGTGCCGCCAAGCCCAGGCCCTCCTATCACGTCCCACCCGGGGCTGGGGCCTCCTCACTCGTGGTCGGCGGGAAGCCTGCAGACGAGGAGATGTGATTGGCTCTTCCAATCCCTGTCCCGCTCAGGCCCTCCAGCAAGGTGGCTTCCTGGAGGAATGGTCAAGACATTTCAGAGGATTTTCGGGAGCAGGAAGCAGAGTGGGGACACCTTGCCCTGCCAGTCTACACCACTCCCATCAGTTGGGGTCAGGATAAGAAAGAAGTTCTCTCGCACGTGCCTACTTGGGTAGGGACCTGGGATTTGGGGGCCTGGGCCCTGTGATGAGGATTCTGAGGCACAGTCCAAGCGTGAAGGAAAGCGTGCATCGGTGACCTGTTGGCCACATCGGCACGATGTGGAATGGGGGGCTGGCAGTGTGCAGACCACATATTTGCCATCCCTGAGGTAAGCTCTTGCCTTCCCCCAACTTGTAAGCATAACCTCCAGGGGAGAGAGATGGGGAGAGGTTATGAGCAGACTACTGCCTCTATTATTACTACCCTCCCAGCTAACAGTGCTTAAGCACTTACTCTCAGCCAAGCACTTTGTAGATGCTGTCCCCACAACAGTCCTACAAGTGCGGAGAAAATTAGGAAGGGGCGCCTGGGTGGCTCAGGCGGTTAAGCGTCTGCCTTCGGCTCAGGTCATGATCCCAGGGTCCTGGGATCGAGCCCCGCATCGGGCTCCCTGCTCAGTGGGGAGTCTGCTTCTCCCTCTCACTTTCCCTCTGTGTTTTCTCTCTCTCTCTCTCAAATAAATATGTAAAATCTTTAAGAAAAAAAAAAGAAAATTAGGAGGGGCTGGAGTCTCACTGATCTCTGACTCTATGTTGAACTGAGGGGGGTAGGCATCATAACCCCATTTTACAGCTGAAGCAACTGAGGCTTACTAAGTACTCGCCAAGATCCCACTGCTAGGAGGTGGTAGAGTAGGAGTGGACCCCAAACCTAGCCGCTCTTGACCCCCCCCACTTTGCTTCTCCCTTATCCACACCCTTCCCATCCCGGGGCCTGGCCTCCTGCCACCTTTCCTGAACCTACCCCCCATGTCCCCTGCAGACACGGGGGCGGGGGCATCTGTCTGCAAAGCTGTGAGTGCTCCTTGGAGGGGCAGCAAGGTGGGCAGGGACTCACCACCCCCACAGGCAGTGGACAGGGGCCTCCCTGCATCCGTTACTTGCCCCCAGCCCAGGCTCTGCACGCCACACAGCAGTGATAGATAGTTTGTGAAATACCCTGAGCTTGCGGTTGACCAGAATTCTGAAATAATTCCATTGAGACCGGAATTCATGCAATGTTCTGTATCCTGATGTGGTAAAGAAGACAGCCCGCGGGAGGGGCGAGGGGATGTGAAGGCCCAAGGATGGTGAGGCAGCCTTCAGGCCCTGCAGCAGGGGCTCCTGCCGCCCCCCCTCACCCACGGGCTCCGGAAGGCCCATCTGACAGGAGCGGAACCCTGATAAGCACCACCTGACCAGGAGGCCCCAGGCAGAGAGATTAATGCACAAATTGTCAACAACCTCCCCACGATGCACCCCCACAGGGGGAGCAGGGGCAGATGGGGGGGGCACACTGGGAAAGGAAGGACAGAGAGGCCTCAAGCAGAGATAGGCCACAGGACAGCTCTGCCTGCCCCAATCCTTCAGCTCCAGCCTCACTCCGCAACCTGCAGCACCCCAGCCCTGGGCACCCTGAGCGGGAAGAGGCCAAGGCATAAGGCCGAGCGAGCATCTTGGTGGCCCAGTTATCCCTAATCTGGCCCCGGGGCCTGAGCAGACCCTTGCTGTGCAGGGCTATGGGGGAGTTGCCTGTGGAGCTCTCCCTTGGCCTGGAAGCTTCCTACAGGTGCGATGGCTCTTGAGCCTCTGTGCCCACGAGTGGAGCCTCGGGGGCCCGGGGGCTCAACCCAGCCCTGCTGGCCTCGTTGGCTGATGCCAGATGGAGATGTGGGCTTCTCCTTGACTAATGCCTCCTCACTGTGCTGCAGAGCATCCCTCCGCTCCTGCAGCTGGGCAGGGACTCCAGGCCCAGGCTCAGCAGGAGGAAGACAGGCCCGGGGGTGGCTGTGGGGTCACCACAATTCGGGTCTCCTTCACACAGGTCAATAGGTTTAGGCCAAGGAAGTTTCCTCTCCTTGCCTGGAAACCAAAATCCCGAGGGCAACCTCAGGGGTTTTCCATAAAGCAAAATGCATCCACTGGAAGGGCTGCCCTGGACAGGGAGATGATGAGAGCCCCACTTTTTAGGGGAACAAAACAAAGCGAAACCATTCCCCTAAAGGAAAAGGATGGTACTCACCGATCAGACACAGCGAAGGCCCACCGGCATATCGAGTTTGCTGTGGGGGCAACTAGGCTTCCATCTTTACATCTTTAATTAAGGCCATTCTTCTAAGTTGTATTTCCAGCTTTGTTTCAGAAGCTCTGAGCCAGGAGCCTCCCCATGTGCCCCAGGCTCGCTCCCTCCCCTGCCCTTCCCTGCGAGGTAGGCTGCTTCCTTATGATTCTCCCTTGGGGCTCTGTAGAGTTAGCCATGCCGCACGGCTGCCCCACACCATGTCAACCCGTCCCCGTGCCTCGCCCCAGAACGCCTCCCTCCTGTGTCTGCATCCCTCCATGGGCAAGGTGCCCTGGGGGCCACCTGTCCAGGGCCACTGGCATCCACTGCAGACAGGCTGAAGGTGCCACGCTGGGCTGCACCCTCCACATGCAGGGGAGATTTCCACCTACAGAACAGCAAGGATCCAGAAGATAAACCCCAGGGCTGGCCTGGGTGATACTGATCTGGAAGAGTGGCTCCTGGGGGGTCCTGGGGGGCCACAGACTCTGGGGCCTTGGGCCAGGATAGGGGTGCTCCCAGGGTGTGGATGGCAGTGGGGGCTGGGAGCACCGCAGGCTGTGCAAAGGCCAGGCACTCAGGAGCCGCTGCTGCGCCGGTCCGGGGCCACGAGGTGGCCTGATCATTTTTTCAAGAGACGTAAAAAAATGCCAATTTTTAGGGAATAGCGCCTGGCTTTTAAGTGTTGAAAATTAACTCAGTATTTCATAATGATAATAGCATTCAGCAGGAAAAGAAAATACATCTGGCGGCCAGCTGGTACAAACAAAACGCCCATCAGCGGCAGGGAGATTCACCAGGTTCCACACGACATATGGCCAGTGTCGTGAAAACGCAAAAGCAACCCGGGCAACCTCTTCTGAGTATGTGTTCTGGGCCCAGGCCAGGGCTGGCGCTGGGCAGCCACCGAAATCAGACCCTATCCCAGGCCTCAGGAAGGTAGACAGAGTGGTGGGAGCAGTGGACAGAGACAGGTCATCAAGGTGCAGAGAAACGGGACGTGCATTCTTCCACAGGCAGGAGGAATTTTCTGGGAGCTTACAACAACTTGCCAACAAAGTTTTCCTCTGGGAGAGTAGTTGGCAACTGTGGGCAGGTAGGAAGGTAGACGCCTCTACTTTTCTCTTCTGATCTGCTTGAATGTTTGCCTCCAGCATGTATTACTTTCACAACTTTATAAAACACAGGACATATGTTTAATGAATCTGTCTGCAAACCAATGCAGGGATACATCTAGGACATTGTAACTCAAATCACAGAGTGCACAGAAGGGTAGTGACTGTCCTCATCTAGGAGAGAGGAGGACGGTGCCATTAGGCCTTCCCAGGGGTAATGCTGGCGGCTGGGTTTTCGAGAATGAATAGGAGTTTTTCCCGGGCAGACAAGGAGGGAAACTTCATTGCAGACTAAGGAAATCGGTGGCTGTCGGGGTCGCTGGGGAAGGTTTTCTGGACCGGGACTTGAAAGATAGACAGACTTGGAGCGGCAGAAAGGATTAAGGTGGTGAGCGTGGCACACGCATGGACAGGGACGGAGAAATGAACCTGGCACGTGTCAGGGGTCTGGAGTCAAGCAGGAACCACAGGGTGGTTCCAGAGCAGGGACTGTAGCCTGAGAAGGTCCCTGCATCCCCAACAGGAGCTGGCCCGGAGCTGGCCCGGAGCTACCTCTCAGAGGTCCAGGAGGACCTCAGTCCATCACTAGAGGACGGACGGCTGCCTTGGGCACCTTGCCCATATGGTGTCTGTGTGGGTTCCCCCAGGGAACCTGAGGACCCGGGGCCCACCCATGGGTAGTCGCAAAAGCCCGAGCAGCGTAGCATGGCTAGTCCCCAACCAGGAGCTGGTCACCAGGTCTGAATCTCGCTGGGAACTTTCCTCACCACAGTGGGACCTTTAGCTCTTTCCCTTAGCTCCAGTTTCCTTAACAAAACCTCCAGCTGCAGGGTAACTGTGAAGAACCAAGGGTAGGAGGATGCCAAGTTCCCAAGGCAGGTCCTGATAGTCGCTGACATTTATCTGACACCTGCTTTTCGAAGAGCTCTATCAATCTGTTTAGTCTGCACAAGAGCCCCGTGTGGCAGATCCAGTGCTAGTCCACGTGCCAGATGAGGAAACTGAGGCAGGCAGGGTTATACACAGTCAGTGAGTGTGGGAGCCGGGATCTGAGCCGTGACCAGCTGGCTCCAGCATCCAGGCTGTCACCCACCACGCCCTTCATGCTGGTGCCAAGTGTCTTCATCACTCCCAAGTCGAATTTGGCTACCCTCAATAGAGGCACTCTGTGCCAGAGCACAGGCCACCAACTGGCAAAAGCAAGCCCAGCTGGCAGAAACGCCGGGGCCTCCTCCGGGAGGGGAGAGGTGTGCATTTCCTGGGCGGGGGCGCCCTCTGCTGGCGGAGGCCTCAGAGTCCCCACCGGCCTCGGAGGGTCTTGGAGCATGAGGAAGCGCGTCCAACCTGGCCCACACTCAGCTGCCCCACTTGGTCAAGGGGAAACCAAGGCCCTGAAAATGGAGCAGTAACCTTGTCCAGGGCCACAGAACAGTCCATGGAAGAACTGCAGGAAGAAGCCAGACTTATGTCTAGCAGCTGGCCTGTGGGGTGAAGTGGGACACCAGCATTTACTGAGCACCTGCTGTGTTCTCTGTGCACCTGGTCTCCCATGACCCCTATTATAGAAAAAATTATTCATCGCACTCACTAAAGACAGCAGGAAAGACTTTAGGCAGGGGGCCACTGCAGTGAGGCCTTGTGGTGGGGAAGTGATGGGGCTCGACCCTGAATACAACAAAGAAAGGGGAATTTATGGGGCAGGGGGTGTCAGTGGATGGCAATGAGGAAAGGGAAATATCGGGCCAAGGGGGGTTTCTTGCTCAAGGACATGGCTGGGACATGCTGGCGGTGAGGAGCCTGGTCAGATTTGTAAGGTGGAGGATTCTAGCTAAAACTGGATGTTGCAGGGGTACCCGACCAGCTCAGTGGGTGGAGCATGCAACTCTTGATCTGAGCTGTGAGGTTGAGCCCCACGTTGGGTGTAGAGAGTACTTAAAAAAAAAAAATCTTGGGCGCCTGGGTGGCCCAGTTGGTTAAGCGACTGCCTTCGG